GCTTTTATCAGATTGAGGTAGAGACCATCCATTCCAATTTTTTTGCAGGGTTTTTATCATAAATGCATGTTGGATTTTGTCAAATGCTTTTTCTGCATCTATTGAGATGATCATACGGTTTTTTCCCCTGGCTCTATTGATATAGTGTATTACATTGATTGATTTGCATATGTTGAACCACATTACTATTTTTCTAGTAAATGAAATCATAGGAAACCAAGTGAACAAGGAAGAAGCTAACATTTACCAATGGAGCCAAGGTGTTAAATTTAATTTCTCTCATAATTGAGATTGTAATGTCTCAAAATCATAATGAAACACATTCAATTATGCAAATGTCTAAAGATTAAAAAGCAAACAGCATACAGGTTTTTAAATTTCTAGTAGATACAGCACAGCAAAAGTATAGCCTTCTTACCCATTGCATACAAGATACACATTTTAAAAGACAAATATTTAGCTAATGTACAGGATGGACCTTTATGCCTCTATCCCTATTCACAAGCATTTCCTTTCTTGAGGAGAAGACAAAGTAAAATTAGTTTTGAATCATTGTCCAGCAGCAATATTCCAGCCAATAAATGTGACTTTCAGTTCTTTTCCAAACTAAGTTCACTTCTAGAATAATTAACTGGTAAAACTCATTAATGTGAAGAAAATTATATGACAAAAAATGCTGAAACAATAGAAAAAGAATGCTGAAGCCAGACTGCTTTTCATTTATTAGCCTATTTAGTATCCCAGCTCTTTCATTTATTAGCTGTGTGACTCTGGTAAGCCATGTAACCTGTGATCCTGTTTCCTCATATGTAAAACAAGGATGATAACAGTACCTATCTCAGGAAACTATTTTAAGGATTAAATATTGAGGTAACATGTATGTGTATCTTAAAATCATATGTGGGACATTTTAAGCACTATGGAAGCATCTGCTATTATTATTATTGATAATAATATCAATAGCCTCTGTAATTTAGTGTCTATAGAGTACTGACCACTGGTACAAACATCCTAAATTTCCCACAACCATATAATAGTATGAGCTGTGGTTTAGATATGGTTTGTCCCCCTAAGGTTCATGTACCAGAACCCTGGTCTCAGTGTAGCAGAATTGGAGTGGTGAGACTTTTAAGTGGTGGAGCCCTAGTGGAAGGAAAATAGGTCACAGAGACTCTACCCTCAAAAATGGATTCATGCTAGTCCTGGAAGACTGGATTAGTTCCCACAAGCACAGGCTACTACAAAGCAAGTCACATCGTGTGCTTGGCCCCTCTACATGTGGCTAATTCCCTTTCTGCTTCTCTGCCACACTGTGACACAGACAGAAGACCCGTACCAGAATGCCAGTGTCATGGTGTTTGGACCTCCCAGCTACTAGAATCATGAGCCAAATTAGCCTCTTTTCTTTCTACATTACCCTGTGTCAGGTATTCCATTATAACAATGCCAGACTAAGACAACATAAATTATCATTTCATTATAGAGAGAAAGAAACTTAGTCTAAATAAGTAAGTTGTCCACAGAAAAAACAACTGAAGGTACTAGTATTGCAGTCAAACTTAGGTCTGTCTGACCTAAAGCCCATATTGTTTCTGTGAGGTCAAGCTGTCTCCCCAAAAATTAGATTAAGACTAGGAAAAAACGGAAGAGGGAAGGGGAGAGAAAAGAGAGGAGAGGGAGAAAGGGAGAGAAAGGGAGAGGGAGGGAGAGGGAGGGAGAGGGAGGGAGAGGGAGGGAGAGGGAGAGAGAGGGAGAGAGAGGGAGGGAGAGGGAGAGAGAGGGAAAGAGAGGGAGAGAGAGGAAGGGAGAGGGAGAGGAGGGAGGGGGGAAGAGAGGGAGGGAGGGAGGGGGAAAGAGAAAGAGCAGAAGGAGGAGGAGGAAGAAGAGGAGGAGGGGGAGGAGGAGGGGGAAGAAGGAGAGGGAGGAGAACAGGAGGAAGGAGGGAGAGGAGGAAGAAGCAAGGGAGGGAGAAAGAGAAGAAGGAGATGAGAACATGATAGGAAAAGCCGAGGAAACTACACTTACAATAGAAAAAATATAAGTCACTCAAAGGATGTCCCATTTATTTCTTGTAAGTTGGTAATACTGAATTTGTACATAAGTACCTACAGTGCTACTGAAAGGATACTCCTTCAAGAAGACAAAAAGTTTTATAATCTTTTCATAGAAGTTGCTATTTTTCTATAAGCATTCAAAGCATCTCTGTCACTTACCTTCCCTTGGTGAGCCTTAAAAGGAACTTCCAGTAAGATGGTCGCAAGTTCTGAACTTCCATTACAGCCTAGGATTATTCAATTTGAGATTTCTTTTAGTAAACACAAATATTATCCACAGTCCTAGGCAATAGGACTAAATCTATTTCTAGATTTATTGCTCGCTGTATTATTTCAATGATAGTAATGACAGTAATAATAAAAACATGCATTTGTGTTTAAGTCAACAGCCATCAACAATCTTTGAAAATACACCTTAATCAAGTCAACTGTCATTATTATCAGAAACCATTTACTGAATCCCCATCTAGGTGACACTTCACTGATTTTTTATGAGTTTATCAATTTAGTAGCATTCCTGTGAGAAAAGAGCAAATAAAAGCTCTCCCCAAAACTCTGCAACAGCCCTTTACCATTAACACAAATGATCATTACAGAATAAAAAGAGATCAAACAGCACAACCAGTTCGTCCCTCATCATTCTCTAAATCATGTTGGGAAAATGTAATCATTCACATTTGTGCCCAACGTATCTTTTTTCTTGAAGAATAATTAAATTATGGCATTCTACTCACTGTATTAGAAGAAAGGTTTATGTACAGACTGTGTTCTATTTTAAGCCTAAAAATCGGTCTGCTCATAAAACGAGGCCTGGCTAATGTTAATAGGTGTAATGATTTGAAACATTTGAGCTATCTTGCTGGGAAAACAACAACAAAATAAACATAAAATAAACATAAATATGTTTCCAAGTTGTTATTTTCCCTCACTGGATTGATGTAGATTAAAAACAAATTTCTATTTCTCCTTTCAAAAGCTATACTTACTGCTTGGAAACAAATTGCAGTAGAGATCGAGTAAATGATAGTATCTGCATGAGGAAAATAGGGAACCTTCCCTGCTTGGATGCCTTTGAAATATATTGTCTGCAAAACAAGCATAAGGCGAGAGTTATATAAAGAATAGCCTTAACTACTATTGGACAGTATGTCCCCTACCCATAACTATGTCCTCTACCTTTCTGAATCCTATTCCTTCCCTCAGAGCTCAAATCATGTTATATTCTCTATGACAATGTCAAGTGTCAGCCCATCCCTTACCTTCATTCCTTCACTCCAACCCCCAGCTTCAAATAGCAATACTTTTCTGTGAAATCAATAGCACTTTATTACTATTGACTCTATTTATTCTCCAGTGCTTTTATAAGTGCTCAAATCCTCCCTTCCTTGTTAGATCTGTTCATTCTTTTATTCATTCATTCAGGAAGAATTTAGTAGTATTAACAACATGCTGAACACAGCATTAGGAACAAAGGATTTAACATGAGCAAACTACAATGCATAGTAAGTATCACTAATGCATGAATTGTGTGAGTGTGTGTGTGCGCGCATGTGTGCATGCACATGCATGCATGCAAGTAAAGCTTGGCTCCTCAGAGGAGGAAGTAACTACTTTTTCTGGAACAGAAGAATTACAGAAAAGACTACATTTGAGAAGGAAGAACCACTTTTTTCTTTAACTTATAATTGTCATGACTTGATGTGATTACAATACAATAAAATGAATTACTAGAAAAATAAATTTTAAAAAATGAGAAAAGAAGGAAAAAACAGAAACAAACCTTTTATAAATAGGGAGGGGTGCAGGGGTTGAATGGAGAGAAGAGAAATGGGAAAAAATAAGAACCAAGATATACCATGTACAGGTACAAATTCCCAATGATGAATGTGATCATAATGTATACCTAAAGTGTATCAATATATTTAATTAGAAAACACATAATTGAGCCAAATTTATACTATGAAATTCAAAAGATAAAACACTACTTGGTCAAATTGCTATAAAAGTTTTTCAATGCTTAATCTCTACTACTATGCTTATATTACCATGGAATGGTAGTAAACAGTTCATGAACTAACACACTAGTCGGCTGTTGACACTTTTTTATAGTATTGCCTTATAAGATGCATTGGGATTAACTAGATAAGAGAGAAAATGTAGGGTTAAGCAGCAGGCATGAAATGTACATCTTATATACATATCTCATCTCTCTCCCTCTCACTTCCTCTTTCTCTGAGCCAAAATAAATCTTTACTTTTTATAAATAAATTATCTCAGATATTACAGTCACAGAAAGCTAACACAATGCAGCTGATTTGATACCATTTTCATTTTCACTATATAAAAATTTTTTTATTCATTAGCTTTATTGGTACATTTTAGGTATACAATATGATGACATTACCTAACATTAACTTAATTCATAGAAAAATGATTGCCTTTAAGACTATTTTAATTAACTTCACAAAGGGCATGGTAAGCTTACATTTCTATTTTTCTTTAAGAGAAAATCCTCATCAGCACATTCCATACAAGTTTAATTTGCCAAAATCAGCCATGACCAGGTGACATAAAAAACAGAGCTAACATTAGTTAGCTTAAAAAACTCCACACACACAAGGAAACAACTATAAAACACCTCTTACAAACCAGATTTCAATATTGGTTTCCTCTGTGTCAAAGAATGTATTTTACTGCCTTGGAGTTATTTTCTACTTCTTATTCCTCTTTTCTTCTTCACTAGCAGGTTTGATAACTCTACTCCTAAACAAATGCCAACTCTGTGTAATTCTGTTTTAGTTTTCCATCGCTGTGACAAAATAAATGAGAAAATCAACTGAAAGGAGGAAAAATTTATTTGGCTCATGGTTTCAGTCCATGGTCACTGGACCTGCTGCTGTTTCTGAGTCTGTGGTGAGGCAGAGTATTACAGTGGTGGAGCAAAGCTACTCACCTCATGGTGGCTGGGAAGCAGAGGGGGCAGGGAGGAGAGAAGGAGGAGAAGGAAAGAGAAAGAGAGAGAAGGGGGGGGGGATGCAGACTGCCAATATCACCTTCAAGAGAAAAGAGAGTAGAGATCTCACTTCCTTACCACGCCTTTAGCACATGGGCTTTGGGGCACATTTCAGGTTCAAACCATAACAACTTCTCTCCATCTCTGCAACTGGAACAAGCTACCATCTCCTGCAGGAGATTATGCTCTCCTAGCTTCCAGAAGTCTTATCTCCCTCTAATACACTCTATATAATAATCAGAATGACTCTTCTTAAAATGTGAATTAAATCATGTCATTTCATCTTTTGAGCTCTTCAGGGCCTTCCAACTACATTGAGAATAAAACCAAAGTAGTTACTCTAGCTTTTAAAATCCTACAGGATGTGTCTTTGTCATCTTCCTTATTTCATGATGTATACAATCTCTGCCTCTGTCTCTCTGTATCTGTCTCTGTCTCTCTCTCTCTCTCAGAATAAAGGAGAAAAAAGGATTCTCTATTCTCTAGCTCTGTTTACTGAGAAGGTCAAGAAACAATGAATAGGCACCCAGATTCCCAGATTGAAGTCTCTAAATAGCTTTTCCCACTAAAAGAAACTAGGAGCCATTAGAGAACAGACTAATTCTATGTCTGGGAGAGAAAATATCCCAGATGAGCCAGAATATCTTGATTTACAGCAAGAAAAGTATCGAAGATAATGGTCTATGTCAAAAAATAGGAGTAAAGCCAGGCATGTAGCTCGTGCCTGTAATCCTAGCACATGGGAGGCTCAAGCAAGAGGTCAAGGACAACCCGAACTACATAGTGAGACTCTGTCTCAAAAAAATAGGCAAAGATGGGGACAATCTGAGCATAATAAATACAATAGGTTAAAATAAACCAGGTATGTTAAAATACACAGCTTCATAATAGTACCTGAAAATAAAGACTCACAGGTTGGTGAGATGCTAAGGTACTCATTCTGAATGCTGATTAAAAAAGAGAAATAATTAAGCATTTTGTTTTCACTTTCCTGAACAAACTATTTCAGAGTAGCCAAATATTTGAAAAGGGAAAGTTCTTTTAGGGCCATTTTAGCTAATGAATACAGAAGAGACAATAATAGTAGACTGAAATAATAAATCCCAATAATGAGCATTAATGGCTGCTAAAACTATTAAATGAAAGGCTACTGGGGAACCTTAAATTGCTTCTCTCAAGACCTGGTCCAGTGATTAATCTTAGCCATACAAAAAGAGAGACAGCCAGACATTACTGAGGTTCTTAATGCAGTGAAATAGGACATTCACACACAAAGTAAATGTGAACTATTTCCACCACCTTACCCCCTAAAAAATTACATTTGAATTTGCGTAAGCCTATAAATCTGGTTAACAGTTTACAGGAAACAAGTGAGTTAAAGAAACATAATAAACACCAGCAGGAATGCAATTAGCAAAAACCAAAATGTAGGAAATTCCATGGGACTAATTCTGTACTTTCAAAAAATAAGTGGCAAGGAAAAAAGAAAGGAAAGGAGAAAAGAGAAGGACAAAAGAGGAGGGGATATTATTACAAATTAAAAGAGGTTTCTTGAACCTTGATTCAAAGAGATTGCACAGACATTTATAAGATAATCAGTGAAGATGAAATTGTTTAACTCAATATATGATAATATTAAGGAATTATTAGGATTTTCTAAAATGTATGATAATGGTATTGTGTTTATATTATGGTGGAATTATTGATTTACTTTTAAGAAGTCTTAATCCCAAATTTTTTACAGATGAAATGCTACCATGTCTGAGATTCACTTTAAAATAATTTAGTGCCTGGGGGAGTAAGTACAGATTAAAGGAGATGGGCCAAATCCTGATATTTAGAGCTGCATGATGGATGCATGCGGGTTAATGCCACTGTTCTTCCTACACAAGTGTATATTTGAAAATAGCACAAACACACACAAATGAGAGAACTGACTTTATAAATACTTTTATAGAATGTGAATTTGTTATTGTAAAGCGGATACATGTATTTGCCACTAAATACATTAGCAACTAAAAACACTTCAAATTTTTTTGAGATTCTTTTTAAAAACTTTTATTAATACATGCTTGTAGTACACACGTAATGATTACTGTGAGGAGCTGGTGGGAAGGGGATAAAAAAATGTAAAAGCTCTATTCTTTTGGAACTGTTCATGCATAAAAATGTTAGCTTACCTCCACCAATTTGGAAGCTAAATACATGGAAATTGTTGTGCTTTTATAAAACATCATTGATATTCCTGCCAAAAATCCTGAAACAAGTAAGGAAAAGCTGATCAGATTGTAATGCATTCAATCAAAAATCAAAAAAATCAAAAATGTTAATTTACTTATACAGGAAAGAAATCACTTGTACCACTGCTTCTTGTTACAGCATAATCAAATATAGTAATACACCTGATAACACTAAAAGACTGAGTCCTTATACTCACACATTTTTAAAATTTAAAAAAACTGAATTTCAGTTAAAAATGAACAATTCTAACTTACATAGAACAAGAAACTTTACATTTCAAGAGTAACTTTAAAAAGTTTTAGTCTTGCCAAATACAAACAATTTTTCAAAATAAGTTTTATAAAGCTATTGGTATCACTGCTGATTTTAAGTGAGAATATTCATCTATAAATGGAAAATAAGGGGGCAAAATATTAATAGTAGCATTATCACTAATAAATTATCTGATAAATGACCTATTTAACAAGTAGTGTACATACAGTACTTTGAAAAATAATCTTTAGTTTTAAAATTTATAAAATAATTTAAGTTTCTTATAAAATTAATAAAATATATCATTTTCCACTGTTAAAAAGAAATTTTAAAGAAATCTGCCTGAAATCCCATTAATCACTTTTACAATATTTAACCTTTTTGCCCTTTTGTGACATCTTCTCTAGGATTTCTGTCCTATAACAGCACAGATCCCATAGTCTCCCACTGCCTACCCAAAACACCAGATGAGAAGACTGCCTTGATATGATTAACTGTGCAGACAAAATGTTTGGGCAAGTGTCTCCAGAGTGATTCTATGCAACAGAGAAAAGAAGATAATAGAAACTGGAAGAACTTGGAAGCATTCATTGCTTGCACTGACTTATCCAACAATAATCATTCTTTTTTATTATTATTATCATTGCTTTACCAGCTATAATAGCATGTAGTTCATCATCCAGATTTCTGATCCAGCGCAGGAAGCAACTAGTACCCTGTGTTAAGGAAAAAATAATACAAAGACTTCAAAGACTTCAGTTATTTTATTTGTAAAAACTCATGAAAACAAAAACAACTGGTATGATTCACTAGATGGCCTTGGAGACAAACTAGTGATCTTATATCAATTAAACTGAATACATGATTGAGGAAACTATGAACAACAATCTGTTTAAGTCATTGCTCTGGATAGACTCTATGAAGAAATTACATATTACACTTTTATTGCCCTTATTTTTCAAAATAAACCCATAAATTCTACTTTTGCCCAAATGTGGAATGCTGAGGAAAATGTCATTTCCACCTATAAAGGGAAAAAAGCTAGATAAACTAACTAGGCTGTCAAGCCCGAATTCTATATTCACAGAAAATATATTCTTAATACTGAGGGTGAAACAAAGACCTTTTCCAAACAGATAAAAGCTGGAGAAAATTCATCAGCAGCAGATCTGTGCTACTAGAAAAGGCAGTTCTTCAGGCAGAAAGAATATGATACCAGACAAAAATTTAGATCTATAAAAAGAAATGAAGAGCTCTGAAAACAGAAAAATAAAGGCAAATTTAGAAGACATGTTTCTCATCTTTAATTGCTCTAAAAGTGAATTAACTGCCTAAACCAAGGTCCAACAAATTATGTCCCACTAGCCAAATCTGGTCTGCCACCTAGTTTTATATGGCTCAGGAGCTAATGCTGTCTTCTTGTTTGCTTGTTTTATTTGGTTTTATAAGACACAGTCTCACTATGTTTCCCAGACTGGCCTTTAACTCTTGGGCTCAAGTGAACCTCCTGCTTCAGCCTCCCAAGTAGCTGGACCTGCCCCAGCTTTTCATATAGCATTTTATGGTTCAAGTGGATGAAAAATAAATCAAGAGTAATATTTTGTGATATAAAAATTATGTGAAATTCTAATTATAAAGTGATAGAGTTTTATTGGAAAGCAGCCATGTTCATTCATGTATGTATTGTCTATGCCTGTTCTTGCACTATAACAGCAGAGCTGACTAGTTGTGACAGTGACCACATGATCAGAAAGTCAAAATATTTACTATCTGGCCCTTTACCGAACAAGTTTGCTGATCATTGGTCTAAAGCAAAAATAGTAACCATGTATTGTGGAGTTTATAACATTTGTAAGCATAAATGTACGGCATAAAAATGGAAAGGAAGAAATATAAGTATAGTGCTGTAAAGTTCTAAATCTATATATGAGGTGATATAATACTAAAGATATATTGATAAATTTCAAATGTGTATTCCAAAAGTTAAGGGAAACACTAAGTTAGAAAAAGAAGTATTAACAATGAGCCAACAATAAAGACAGAATGGAGCCATGCAAAAATACACAATCAATCCAGAAGGCAGAAAAAAAAGAGAAATAAGAAAAAATGGGACAAATACAAAACAACTAGTAATAGACTAAACATACCAATTAAAGATATAGATGACCACACTTGATGAAAAAGGAAGAACAAACTATATACAGTGTAAAAGAAACCAACTTTTTAAACAAAGACAGAAATATTAAAAGAATATAAACACTATACCATCAAACACTAATAAAAGAAAGTTGGAATAGCTATATTAATATCAGACATAGCACATTTCAGAACAAGGATTATTACCAGAGATGAAAAGGAACATTACAATCCAGACATGGTGGCACATGCCTGTAATCCCAGTACTCTGGCAGGCTGAGGCGGGAGGATGGCAAATTCGAGCCCACCCTGGGCAACTTACCAAGATCCTGTCTTAAAATAAAAATACAAAAAGGGATTGGGATCTAGCTCAAAACCAAGGCTCTGGGTTCAATCCCCAATACCAAAACCAAAAATAAATAAACCAACAAACAAAACCCAAAAGGAACATTAAAAATGAAAAAAGTCAGCTCACCAAGAAACAGATAAAAAACAGTGATTTATTTGCCTGTCCTTACTTATTTATATTTCTATAGAGATACAGTGCCATGGAAAATTTGTTTCAAAAAATCATACGTAGCTTTGGAACATAATATATGAGTATGTTCCATGAAATTTTTTGATGCAGTTGTATTTTCTTAGTTCATATTACCTTAGCAAATAAAGAGTAAAAGAAATTTTTTTAAATGAAACATAATATACACTGAGATTGTGGAGATGGTGGAGAGTAATGAACCTGGGACTAAAAATATTTAAGATAATCCACAAGGAAACATATAAAGGTTTGTGTATGAATAACACGGGAAAGGAAAATTAATGTGAATATAAACATATAATTACCAATAATCTGTCCGTAACTCATATATTCAAAGAGATGAGTAATGCTTCCTACTCAAACTGTATTTTATATCACTGATATTTTAAAACAAATGATAAATTATCTGTAGTTTATCTATAGTCTGGTTGCACCTTTCCATTTCAAGTATTTTTTCATACCTACCTTTTTATGAATAAAGTTTTACATAAAATGATATATAACCTTTTTACCTAAAATAACTCAATTTGAATTCTTTTCAGCATTAATTTTGAGTTTAACTACAGTATATATATAATATATAATTATATATATACACTGTATATGCATTTTTACAAGTCAATCTTAACACATTTTATCATTTAGAACCTATATTTAGGTTCTGAATCTCAATTTTATGTAATAGGATATGTCAGTAATATTAACATATTAGTGATTCCTATTAAACAAAAAGCTATCACTGACAATATGTTAAGAATGATCTTTGTGTTCAGGTGTGGTCTTACACCTATGAGGGCACATTTAAAGAAACAGAAAGGAGTACAAGAATGTTAACTGGTTATTTCAAACAATGTAGCATGAATAGTGACTGGACAGAAATGAAAATCAGTCACTGCTTATTTAAATTACAATAGAAAATTTTTATTCAATCAATTATTGACTTGAAGGGTCTGAAGTAATAATAACCAGATAGTAAATAGGATTAATAAAAACAGCTAGGGCCAGGGATTTAGCTCAGTGGCACTGCACCTGTCTCACAAGTGCAAGGTCCTGAGTTCAATCCCAGGTACCGAAAAAAAAAAAATAGTTATCTTCAAAAACACCCCAGGTGTATTACCATTTTTGCCATTAGAAATATCAAAAACTTCCTATTTTCTCAGTGTCTGTGTATTCAAAAAAGAAAACAAGTCTGGGAAGTTTTAGAATTACATATAAATATAATGTGTCTACATATTCAAGCTATTAAATAACTCCCTAAAAGAAGAAAATTCTCCAAAATAAATTCCCCATATATTATATATTTAGTCACGTAGAGATATCTGAATGACAAAAGGAAGCACTAAATAAAACAACAGCTGAATTAAACTCATATCTCATTCTAACAACAGCCACATTATTTATTTCTCACTTTTCTTTTCTCTTCTGACAACCTTACCTTGTATATACTAACAAAAGAGCCAAGAAAAGCTCCGAGCTGGAAGTTTTCTTTATTGTAGAATAGGGAAAGTAGCCGGGATGGCTGTGTAAACAGATGCCTGAATGCAGAGGGGATTCTGAGGCAGCACTGGATCAAATATCCCACACTGAACATTCTGATAAAGCCCTAGAGAAAATTGGAAGGAAATTCTGATTTACAACCAAATTTTGAAGTTTGATAGAATATGAACTTTACTATCTCAAAATCAAAGCAAAAGTCAAAAATATTCACTACAACATTATATAACAACAATTTTCAAAATAAAGTCTTAAAACTTGAAACAATAATTTTAAAATAATGACCTACAAATAAGGAGAAGATCTTGGAGTAAACTTTCCTGGATTTACAAAGACTCAGCAAGTCTCATGAGCACTGCCAAAACTTGCCTGTGTACCAAAATTCCATTTCTTGACATTTTGTTGACAATGATAATAATTTTAAAAATTTCTAAACCATAAATGAATTTTAGAAACAAAAAAAAATAGTTAACAAAAACAAACGCTTTTGGAAATTTTAACAGAAAACTATTCCTAATCATTCATACAAGCAGGGATTCTTCTGATAGATAATTTCATCATTTGTTTAGATCTCTGATAGCAAAATTTTAAATTAACAGAGTTGAAGAATCTTCCAGGGAATAAAAACTGTATCTAAGTTTTTATTCCTGTGTTCAACTGTGTCAGGTTACAACATCTCTAAGGAAAGGCTGCTTTAATATATACTAAACTAAACTGAAAACAACAGTGTAATACTGTTCTCACATCCTCCTGCTCCTCTCTCACCCACAACAGAATGGGGAAAGTGTCAGCACTCCTAGCCTTGCTTCCCTGCTAAGTTCCAAAAGTCAGTTTTATTTTTACCAGATTGCAGCTTTCTTTTTTAAAAAAATTGAATTACAATGAAGTAATATTGGGTAGTCTAAAACCCACCTACTACCCGATTAAAACACAAAAATTAAATAGGCCAATTACAGTAAATTACCAAGTATTTGTATAGCTGTAATTGCCTTCTATTTGTTCACTATGTAAAATGATCACACTTTTATCTTACCAATGATACCCTGTAATATTATTCTAGGGCAGTGATGGCTTTTTAGAGTTTTCAATGATACAAGCACTTGCCTGGCATGTGTGAAGCCATGGGTTTGATCCCCAGGACAAAAAAAAAAGTGAAGCAGAAGACCAAATTTGGAAAAAATATATCAGAAACCACTGTACAAATGAAAAAAGTACTCTATTGCTTTTAACCCTTCTCATATCTTTGGGGATGCTAAGATAAGTGTGGGGTTGGGTAAATGCCATGGTAACACTAGGCTTCATTCACATTCATAAGCACTGAAGTGGTACAGTTCCTCCTTTCTATAGTAACCATAAGAGACTGTTTGGGGGGTCTTGCACAACTTAGCTCTTCTCATCATCACAGAGTGGGGATTAGACACTGCAAGAAATTTTTTAAAAATAGCTTTTAAAAGCACCAGAAACTGTTAGAGGGTCATCCAAAACTAAGGAACTTGCAGCAGGTGTTCCCACCTGTGCCAGAATAACGGCAGTGAAGTAACTTTCTTCCCAGAGCTGGTGGTGATGAGAGAAGTGGGGAGAGCAGAGTGGAGGGAGAGGAAGTGTCAGACCATTAGGAAGTAGGGGATTTATGCCACTGGGCACAGCTAACTTTCTTAATGTAATGTAACTGTGAACATGCTCTACTTAGCTTGATGTCTTTAAGAACACATAATAAATTTATTATTTTATTCATTCCAAAACCAAAGACCACTGTGCCAGATTGGACAGTGTATCTAGTGCATGTCAATGTATACACTCATCCAGTTAGCACATCACATAGTCCAAGAGCATTTTCTAGGATGTGCTTGTAAGAGAACACTTTAGTATAGATTTTAATGAGTTTTTTGTTCTTACTTCATTATCTCTTACCTCCTAAGTTTTAGATGAGTTTTGTTTTTGCTTTTGTGGTTCTAGAGATCAAACCCAGGGGCCACTCACATGCTAGGTGAGTGCTTTACCATTCGGCTATAGCCCCAGGCCAAGATAAGCTAATTTTTAAACAGGCTAAATTAAAATTCTTTAAGGTTCTGATAAGTGAGTATTAAAAGGTAAATTATTACCTGTTCTCACAGAGTTATTTTTCAAGTCAAATGCAATGAATGATAACAATTATTAATCTTAAATTTTCCATTTACTTGGTAAGTATTTTAATAAGTATTATTGCTACAGATATTTTTCTATTGTTAAGAAAATAGACACTTTTATGCACTTACTTTAATGCAATAAGAGATGCAATTATCTTCATAGTGTTTGCAACACCTATGCCTTGGTCCATGCTTACATCTGAAATTAAACCGAAAAAAATCTAATTAAAATTAATACATGCATGTGGGAGCACCAGTGTATTTGTGCCTGTACATGTTCAGAACTACCCTTAAAAGAGAAAAATCACTTATTTCTAATTGTATCTAAATGCAACTAAATGTAACTTTTGTATTTTAGAACATACTGAAGTAACAGCTTTTTGTGGATTTTTTTTTATTGCTTACCATTTGACACATTGTATAGAATGCATAACTACAGTAAAAATACTTGAATGTGGACTATAAAACCACATTAAGTATTTGTGACTAACTACGAAAACTATGTGTATATTGCGTATATATACTGCCAAATCTTTGGAAGCTTTAAATCGCTCATTGCATAGTATAATGGTCATAAATCATCCATGAAGCCCATACTTGAGCAAAAATTATAATGAGAATGTGCTCATGTTACAGAAATATATACTTAATTATATTTGAGAGAAAACATCTGGAAAAGAAACATAATACAGTATTAGAATTCAAAATTCAGTTTTTAAATAAATATAGAAATAGAAATCATATGAGACTTCAAAAAGTAGGTTATTTGTAATTTAACTGTAAGCCACTTAACCCTCCAGTGTTTAATAAAAACATTTCTGATGAGAGGACTACTGTTCAAGACATGTTCATTTTAATTGTTTGGTGCAATGGCTCCACCCTTGGCATAAAAAAATAAGTAGGCTATCTAATGTGGGTCTAGCTCTCTCCCTTTCTCTCTAAAGGGTTCATGTTCCAAAATAAGCAGCCCTTATAACTTCTTTATGACTGATTAATTATTTTCATGGTTGAAATACATAATCCCTTTCCTGTTTATAACAAAAACTCACAAAGCAATGTTCTGGCTCTGTACCTCTCTCATTTGCAAAGTGATTAACATCTTTCCAGAAATCCCACCCTCAACTGTAGCTGCATTATACAGGCAGATTTTCCTTGTCAAAGGTGACAGTAACAGTTCACAGAGATTTAAGTGCCGATACTATTAGAATGATATGACAGATCTGGCCAAGAAAAGTTGTTGAATGATTAAAGCTGGAAGCATGAGAAGAGAAGAATAAGAGGATGCCTCATGCAAACTATCACTCTTCATACTTCTAAGTGTCCTCTTCAAAACATTTCAGTCTGTGCTGCCAGAACTATACATAAATTATTAAACTCTGACAGTGATTTACTACTGTCATTTAATCTTTCTTTAGCCACCCATTAAAAATGGCTTCCTAAGTCCTGGACAGTTTGCCTCTTATACTGCTTTGCTTCTGCATTATTCTGCATCAGGTTTACTCTGGGGGACCCACTGAGACAACAAGATCTGCCATGACCCTATCATTTCTGATATCCAAGCCATCATTTACTGTATGATTTACACTCTCTGATTTTGGTTGAAATGATTCCCATTCATGGGAATCCTTTCTCACTTTTCTCCACTAAAGTAACTCATAACTGTTTTTGAACTTAATGAACCCTTTCATCCATCATTCCTTTCTTCACTCCTATGTTCTGAATGCAGTATATGATAAAATCAAGGAAACAATATTTAAATTCAGTAAAAATCTGAGTACTCACTCTCTGCTTATACATTATTATCGGGTGATTTTATCTTATTTCATTTAAGGCTTACAACAATTGTTAATAGCAATTATTAACCTCATTTATATAAGGACGCTGAGATAGACAGGGGTTAAATTACTTAAAGTCACAAATCTCGGAGGGGTAAAATAAGAGTCAAAGGCAGGTTCTCTGATTTCTTAAAGGGCTTCATCTCCCTATCAATGATCCTTCACTTTTAATATTGCCTACATTTTCTGTCCTCTCTAAAATAATCATTACCACAATTATTTTTACTCATTGACGTTCTAAACTTCAAACCATTAAATTTATTAAATGTCTACACTGGAAATTACATGAATGAATGAAACATAAAGATTTCTTTTTCTGAATAGCATAAAAAGAAAGATTTATTTCAGTCTGAGAATCCTAAAACTTTACACTCTTACAAGATGTCTTTACTTAAGGCTTGTTCCTTATTATTTCTATATCTTCTGAATTCAAGAACTTTTCTTTCTCCTTTCCATAGGTGGAATATTCAATTAGCACATACTAATACGTTTCTTGAAGTTCTTGCCTAGTTTGAAAGAGTATTTCAATTTCATACAAATCTACTTAAAAGGCATGTGATGGTTTACCATCCTGTGAGAAAGACTAAAACACATTTACTTGCCATTATCTGCCTTTTTAAAAAATAAAACTTTATACCGTTTCTGGTGAAAGAAAAAAAGTAACAGTGTTGCCCAAAAAGAAAGCAAAAACACCTTGGCATGGTACAAATATCATATAAAACAGTGACAAAGCATGCTAAAATATTAAAATAAAGAACTCACATTGAATCCACAAATTTCTTAACTACAGCGATTATATTCATTCTTCTTGGTTTTTCCTTATGTTCCTCTCTCTTTTGTTCCATTTTTGCATATGCTGCCTCTGGTGAATAAGAATGTGTGGGAATTTCTTCCTTCCCTACAATAAACCTAAAGAAAAGAAGAAAACTATAAGACATTTTTCATTGTTGAAAAAAAATAGGGGCTGTGGACCAATGAAATATGAAAATTTAAGCACTTAGAATGTAAAAGCCATTACTATCAACAATAGCAACCCATTCTGTTGGACAAACTTGGTAAGACATCCAACTTATTAAATCAAAATGGGTGTGCAAAGGATTTGTTTGTCACTTGATGTTATCTGTGAAACCTTGGTCCCTGTTAGCCCAAAAGAATTGGTTTCTTACTCATGGGTATGCATAGAGAGTTTAAGATCTGTACTACTATTTTGTTGTTGTGGCTGCTGTTGCTGTTTGGAGGGTTTTATTTGCTTTAATTTTTATGGTACTGGGGCTTGAACCCCAAGCCTTTGTGTAGGGCTACATCTCCAGTTCTTTTTTTTTTTTTAATTTTTCTTATTTTGAGACAGGGTCTCACTAAGTCACTAAATTGTCCAAGCTGAGCTGGAACTTGTAATCTTCCTGTATCAGCCTCTCAGAGTGCCAGGATTACAGGCATTCACCATCACACAATAAGGATAAAACTATCCAGAATAAATGCAACACTTTTTCATGTCTTTCACAATAACACTGTTTCTCTTTTGGCCAGCGCTGGCTATCTTGGATTAGTGGTCACTCCCTTGGAGAAGTTGTTCCTGTCTCAAGGCAAGAGGAGTTGGTGATCCTTCTTCTATGTTCTCACAGCCAATGAACCTCTATGATGGTAAGCCCCACTTTAGTGGTCTGCGTCCTCCACTGAACTGTGGGGATTGTGAGACTAGCATGGCATCTGACGTAAGTAAATATTTAACTAATATATACAGAATGAAGGAATGTAGTAGTAGTTAGCATTTTTGGAGTACTTACTACACAACAGGCACAGTGCCAATTGAGTCTTTTACAAATATTAAATTATTTCAGCCTCATAGAAACACTATAGGCATCATAACTCCTATGAGAGTTAGTATGAATAAGTATCTTGTCCACAGGCAATAAATCGTTAGTAATTATTTGAACACAGAACCATCCAACTCGAAAGTCTGGCCCCTTAATCACTGCACTAAGTATACTTCCAACTATGTCTTAAACTGTGGTGAGTCCACACAGTACACCTTAAGATACTATACTGTTTTCTCTCTCATGGTTCTGTCCTTGACTGTTTCTATCTATCCTCATGATTTTAATCTATAAGGCAGATAAAAGCCAAATCATCCTAGATACAATTTTCAGAGGAAGCTTCTTAAAGCATAGATCTGCATTTGCTACTTTGACACTCAACAAATTTCACTGACTTATGACCTACTGAATTAACTATAAACTTCAAGTTTAAAACAGTACCTGGGACAGAGAGAATGCTCACTATGTGAGGTATTATTATACGATACAGTTAAATGAACTACTGGCCATACTCCAAAAACAAAAAACAACAACAAAAAAACAGTGCCTCAGTCCTGTTCTTTTTATCTAGATCATTCTTCACTACATCTGTGCTAACATCTTATCTGTCTTTTGAAATCCATCTTAAATGCTCTTTCATTTCACCTTCTTCTGCCCATCCTCCTTACAGAAAAAAAGTAATTTGTGAACTCCATAGCACTCAGTTTCTATTCTCTCATAGCACTGAGCTTTTCTATTCTACAAATATTTCTGTGCAGTTTTTGCTTCCTTCCCTGTCTATTTCTAGACTTGGGGACAGACAGTAAGCTAGGTCTGCCTAACATATATTGCAGAAATAACCTACACTTCTCTTTTGTAATATTTGGCATAATTACAATTGATACTGTCTTCCTTACTAAACCATAAATACAAAAGACAGAGATTGTATCTGACTCATTCACCAATGTATTCTTAACGTACAAGTCCTGGGGTAAAAAGTAAAAATATACCAAATAAACACTGAATGAAAGTTATCTTTGTAGCCCACATATTATCTTGCAAATGTTTAGCACTTAAAATATAAGTGCCGAGGGGCTGGGGATTTAGCTCATCGGTTTTGCCGCCTGCTACGCAAGCACAAGGACCCGAGTTCGATCCCCGGTACCAAAAAAAAAAATAAGTGCCAAACTGAAGTAAAGATTAGTATTATAAAGCTACTCTATGTCTAATTAGGAGATATTAAACTCGGATATTTTGTGACTACCCATACTTTGTGATTAAAGGATAATTTTCCTTAGTTGAAACAATGTGTTTTCATGACAGAGTAATTATGATCTGTATAAATTAGCACTTCCTCCAAGTGACTGTATTCATTTAAATTTGGGAATGTTGATCATTGTCCTATGTATCAGACACTTTATTTCAATCTTTTTTTTTTTTTTTGGTACCGGGGATTGAACTCGGGTCCTTAAGCTTGCGCAGCAGGCGGCGAAACCACTGAGCTAAATCATCCCCGGCCCATGTATCAGACACTTTATATCTTTTCTTTATCAAAGTTTAATATTCCCAGGAAATAGTATTAAATTTGGCTACAAGTATTTTTTGTAACCTCTCCTTTTTGTAATTACTACTAAATGTTTCATTTACATGGTATAAACTTATAGCATATGTCTGCATAAATATCAGGACAGCCAAAAAATGAAAAGATGTAGAGTTAGAAAGTCATGTAAGATAATACTTCTTGGAAGCCTACAAAAACAACAAACAATAACCCACATAACTTTTTGACAATGAAATTTGACAATAAGTACATATGGCCTTTGGTACTACTCTTCTGAGTATGAATTTAATATCTTTGAGAATAATCAATTCTCAGTGCAGGAAATCCAAAATGAAATCACATCTGTTTAATGAAAGGAGATATACAAAATAAATAAAATGACAATTCATAATACTTAACAATTTTCTTTGACAACAAGAATACTACCATGAATAAACATTTTCCATAACATTTTTCTATAATAATTTATAGAGAAAAATTTTAAGGGCAAACAGTCCAAACTACTCTCTTATTACAAATGGATTTGAAGAAGACACACAAAAAATATATCTGACAAATGCTGAGTTGCTGCATAGTTTCTGAGTTTTCATTTCAGAAAAATCACCTTTTTGTTTTCTTACCAACTCTCAGTTAAAACAGAATGCTTTAACCCAATCCAAAAATGGGCAATTGAAATGAACAGACATTTCTCAGATAAAGAAGTAGAAAGAGCAAATAAACATATGAAAAAAATGTTCAGCATCACTGGTCATTCAAGAGATGCAAATGAAAACAATGCTGAGATTCTACCTCACCCCAGAAGGAATGGCTGCTATCAAGAAATCAACAATAACAAATGCTGGCGGGGTTGTGGGGAAAAAGGAACCCTGCTCCACTGTTCGTGGGAGTGCAGACTGGTGCAACCACTGTGGAAATCAATATGGAGATGCCTCAAAAAACTGGATTAGAGGGCCCATTTGACCCAGCTATTCCCCTGCTGGGTATCTTCCCAAAAGAATTAAAAGAATCATACCACAGCAATATGTATATACCCATGTTTATAGCAGCACATTTTATAATAGCTAAAACTTGGAAACGGCCCAATTGCCCATCAATTGTTGACTGGATAAAGAAGATGTGGATTTTTAAAAAAATAAAATGGAGTACTACTCAGCCATAAAGAATGAGAAACTAGAGACATTTATAGGTCAATGGATGCACACTGAGGTCAGACTCTTAAGTGATATAAATAGGACTCATGTGTAAATACCGAATAGTTTCTCTGGTGTGAGAAACTAAAAATGTAAATAAGGATCAAAATGTATAACAGATAATGTAAACTAGGAAGAAAAGGTCCAAAGGGGAAGGGGAAGGGGATGTAGAAGGGGTAGGGGAAAAAAAAGAAGGGAAAGGGAAAAATATGAGAAAAGGAAAAAATGGAAACAAAGTCTTTATAAATATGGAGGGGTGGAGGGGTTGAAGGGAGGGCAGGGGAATGGGGAAAAAAATAAGAACCAAGATATTATCGTGTAAAGGTACAAATTCCCAAGGATGAATGTCATCATATTGTATACCTAAAATGTACCAATAAAATTAATGAAAAAAAAAACCAGAATGCTTCATAGTCAGTGTAAGAACAACAGCAATAAAGTTATTTTCTAACAAATGTATGGGTTTTTAGTGAAAAACATAAGGTAAGAAAATTACTGTTGTGGATTATGACTTAGAAAGTTTTTGTTACCATAAAGCTTCCACAAGTAAAACTACTCTAAATCACACAGTGGACTTGATTTTTTTTCCCCTCCAAAACCAGTTTCCTTGCATGTCATCTGACTTTGTTAGTAAGACTTTCTTTTAAGTGCTTCAGTATTTTTCTGGAATTGAGAGGTACAGGTAAAGAGAAATACTGAACATATCAGTCACTAGGTCTTCATTTCCTTTCAAGTCTCAAGTTTGTCTTTTTTTCTTTAATCCTCCCCCTGTCACTCAAATTCCAGTCTTTATTATTTTGTCTTTCTACCTTGAAGTTCTCTCTTTTTCAATGTCCCAAAGACTGTGGCTAGACTAATCATTCTGCAAGACTGTCAACAACCTGCTCAAAATCCTTTGGTGGCTCCCTACTGACCACTTTATCAAATCCAAGTTTATCTTCTCCACACACAACCCCTTTCTGCAATCTGATTCTACTCTACCTACCCAAAATATCTTATATTCCTTAATATAAAATTTTCTTACTAATTAAATAGATTTTCTCACTCCTGTGCCATATTTCACATTTACAACTTTCAACCTTTTGCTAATATAATTCACTTCCACCTAAGGTGCTTTTCTCTTTATCTAAAATCCTCCAAATATAGCTTAAGGCATATAATCTACAAGATTGATAGCAACAATAATGGCCCACATTTTTACTTATAATTTGCCAGGCACTGTTCTAAATATTTTCATGTACTAACTCATTTGACCCTCAGAAAAATTTTATGAGACAATCACATAAAACTTCTCCAAATCCTGAGGACAACCCTAATTTTTCCCTCTAAGACTTGTAGTAAATACCATGTAAATAAGCTTCACTAAGCGTCTATCACCTACACTTTGGAGAACAAAATAGCGGAACACTTAGAACATAAGCAGGAAGATCGCTGGGTTTGGTGTCAATGTATATAGTTACTTGTGTGATGTTAAATTAGTCAAACATTCTAAGTATTGCTTTCTTCATCATATTTCATGGGGATAAAAATATTCATCTCACAGAATGGACGCAGAAATTGAACTTTCTAATCTATGTAAAAATGCTTGGTGAACTACAAAATATATTGCTAATGCTAACTAACATTTATAGCTTATATACCATGTGCCAATTACTATGCTAAGAGATGGAGTATGAGGTAAAGAAAAGACTACCTATAATTAAGATCTAACATGCAATTGACAGAATGTCATACTCATAATTTGGTACCACATAATCAATTCCTTAAATTTTTGGTAATTGTTCATGTGCAGCTTCATCTTTCAAGCTCCTATTAATATAATAAGAGGGTTCTTGTCTTTCTTTACTAGCAACTTACAACACAAAGCAGACAACAGGCCCAAAAAGTAGTGGGTGATTAATTTTTAAGGGACAATAATCTAATAAATTGCTCTTTCAGTGAACTATCCATAAAGGCTTGTAATTATTGATATGACTTTAAAAACTGCTATTGACTTAAAAATGTACTCAACAAATATTTATTATAATCATATATATTTTAATAGTTAACTCACAATTTCTCACTCAATATAAAGGTAAATAAAATGTTACTTACCTAAGTGCTGAAAATGTAAATCCTTTCAAACCATCTTTGCACCTAAAACAAAAATTCAGTTATAAAATGTGTTTCGAGATATAAAGTAGTAAATTTGTATATATCAAATTTTTTTCTAAGACTGATGCTCTAAAAGGTGTAACTCTTAGTATAATGATCTCAGCATTGCAAATGGTTAAACAAACAACGAAGCAACTCATCTTACACAGTTATTAATATAATACTTTGCTACATCATATTAACGTAACTTAGGGCTCAGTTCTCAGATCTTCTAATTGCTCTATCTGGACTTAAAATGATGGCTGAAAGCAGAGAATTCTTCATTTTACCCAATCCCTTGGGGAGTGATTTTTATGACTATAAAGGCTATATACACTTTCTGGGTATTATATACAGATCAATTCAAGGTCCCTATTTCTCTCTTAATTGAATAAATGCAAAGCAACATAAGAGTTAGCAGGCTCAGAAAAGCTTCAAGTTCAGTGCAACCATTTTACCTTCTGATTTAGTCCAATCAGAACAAATAACATAGCACAGGGAACAGGATTGGGGTGAGGGAGCGGGCACAAAGAGAAAATTCCAATTAGTATTTTGAGCGCTTACTCTACGAATTGAATTTTCTCTACTCCATACCTGTACAGAGGTTCAAATAATGCAAGACCTTCCCAGAGGTCACAATATTAATAGCAGTCAGAATTTAGTGTGGGAGGAAAAAAACTTGATCTTACTTTAAAAGTCATGCTTTTCTCCTACCTATCCTCCTAAAATTGTATTGTTTTTAATTGGGGAAGATACAAATTACATTGCAATTAAGAAAAAACAAAAATTCTCAGATTTGCAAAAATAAAAATATTTAGGATCTGATCACCTTACATAAAGGGTCTCTGAGATTTATTATCAAAATCCCTTAATGAAATCTAAAAGACTAATGATATAATAATCCTTATACAAGATATGAGCAAAACATATGGTGCATGCTTACATTTTTTAGAAACTTATTACAATAAAAGACATTGCCATTACTCCTCCTCGCGATAGTTCCTTGCTTCAAAAACACTTCACCTATGTTTCTTGCCACTTTTTGAAGTAGTACTAGAGGTCCTCTTTCATGAGTATCTTTAGTTGCACTATTATGGTTGCCTGAATGCTTAAACTGATGCAAAATATTTACCTTTCATGGTCATTTTGACTTGGAGGAAGAGCCAAAAGGCACACAGAGTCAGATCCGGTGAATAAGGTGGATGAAGACATACCACAATGTTTTTGACAAAAATTGCCACAAATGCATGATCAATGTGGGATGATCATAAAATATGGTGTTTATATTTAAAAATTTATTACTGTAAAAGGCACATTGCCATTAATCCCTCTCAAAATATTTCCCCTCGCTTTCAACATACTGATCCCACTGCTCTTGGCAATATGTATTTTATTGTAATAAGAGTTTTAAAAATTTAAACATTCATCATATATTTTCATCATCCCTTGTATGTTAATATTAAGACCTTGGGTATCCTTGAATAAACAGTACAACTTCAAATATAACTGATCAACTCTTTTTGTATGTCTTTGGTATGAAGGGTCACAAAGGAAATGCACAAAAGAAATCTACATTACTTTAAAATGTATATATACATATATGTATATGCATATATATGTATACCTACATATACACATATACACACATATATACATTATATGTGTGTATATATGTACATGTATGTATATATTTTACATAAATATATGTATATAAAATATATGTGTAAAACGTAACAATCTCAGAAAAAAATTAACCCATATGTTATAGTTTGTGTTTAGATGTCCCCTCAAAACCTCATGCAGATGAGATGGGATTTTCTTTTTCAGAGGTAGTTGAGTCTGGAATGTATGCTACTGGGGTTAAGGGCATGTGATTACTAAACCATTACACGAGTGATTGGTTTGGCATCGCCCTAATCCCAACAGTTTGAATAAGATAAAAGGGGCAGAAAGAGGCTGTTAAACTCTCTTGTTGCCTTTGCTACCTTCTGCGTGCCATGTTGTTTCTCCTCTGTGATGTCTGTTTGCCATCCCTGTCTTGGAGCTAGCCGATTATGGACTGAAACCTCTATGAACTGTAAGCCAAATAAACCCCTTTCCCTCTAATTTTGGGTGTTGGGTATTTTGTCTCAACAACAAGAGAAAAGTAACTAACGCAGCATGCACACAGAAATGTTTTAAAACACTTAAGGATTTATTCCAGTTAAGGACATGGTCTCCCTTGTGGTCATGTTAACAAAGAGAAATGTAACCAATGAATTGCAGAAACATACTACATAATTATCTTCCCGACACAGAATGAAAGTAAAGGCAAAAGAATTTGTATGTCCAGCTAGAAGATGTGCATGGGAAATTATAGCATTAAAATTCTTAAATTTATATTTTCTAATCTGAATAAAGTGTTTCACAATAATATAAAACCCGTCAGTAGTATAGCCAGGCTTGGTGGCCCACACCTATAATACTAGCACTCTTGAAGGCTGGAGTAGGAGGATGGCAAGTTCCAGCCCACCTGGGTAACTCAGGTATTCTGCAAGACAGTGTTACAAAATTTTAAAAAATAAAAAAGGGCTGGGGATGCAGCTCAGTGGGAAGGCCCTGGGTTCAATCCACAGTACACAAAATTTAAAAATCCAATATGGGCAGAGTGGTAAAGCATAAACTAGGTGCCTACTGACTAGAAAAAAAAACAGTAGATTAATTAAAAGATTATGTACATCTGGGAACCAATGTTGGCTTTGGTATCTTATTGTTAAAAACTTCCCATTTATCTTTGTGCAATGCTGAATAGATAAAAGATTCTGCCAACTCTGTCTAGTCAATGAAGCATATTTGTCATACTGAACAATAAATTTAATCGCAGACCAAAACATCAAAAAATAGCTTTCAAGTACAAAAGGAGCATATACTATTAAGTCTGCAGTTTCATTATGATGGAAGTTTGCTTCTTTCAGTAGAACCCTGTGGGAAGCACTTCGTATTGATAAAGTCTTAACATGGATTCTAAAAGGGCCATTCTTCTTTCCATTCATGTGTATAGGTTTGTTAATGTAACTGAGGGTCAGATGTCTATGTCAAAAGAACAAAAAAGTAATTATTCCCATGAAAAGAATCTTTAAAACAGTAATAACATCCTACATTTTCACATAAAGAGTACTGTCTGACCATCATCCTATGAAACACTATTGTATTCTGTGAAAAATGTAGAAAGGATGATACAAAGATTTAAACAAACCCCACTGGAAGGTTCCTCATCGTTCTATAGAACTAGTTTTTACAATGTAAATCAAATCATAGTCTTCATTTAAGAATTAATGCTAGCTGACTTATTCAACTATTATTACTAAGTGTTATTATGTGTAAGTGCTGGTTTTAGTTCTAAGAATGTTAACACTGAACAACAGATCATCCCTGCTTTCATACAGCTGGCATTCTAGAAGTGGGAGAGTAAAATAAAAGACAGTCATATCATGAAAATTGCTAATATAAAAAAGCTGAAAGACAAGGAGAAAATAGTGAGGAAGTCAGGATTTCTTATTTTACAGTCAAGAAGGGTCTCTCTGAAAAGGTAAAAGATGGTAATCTCATCAGAAACCTTTTTGAACTGAGGGAAGGCATTTCAGTTTGTGGTAATAATAGCAAGTGCAAAGCCCATGATGAGTATGCAGACAGTCAGGAAAACAGCAAGTGGATTATTTAACTGGGGCAGAGAAGTAGGTATAGGAAATGAGGTCAGGTTATCACAGTAATAGGGGTGGAGGGAGAGAATGGTCTACAATGCATGAAGACCCCTTAGGCATTATAAAGGTTTTGGAATGTTCTCAGCAAAGGAGTGACATGATCTGTCATAAATTTTAAGAGAAACATTTTGGCTGCTGGACTGAATATAAACTATAGGAGAGTAAGTTCAGAGTCAAGAAGAGTAGTATGGATGAGAAAGATAACTGTGGTATGAAGTGAAGGGAAGTATTAAAAATTGGAATATATTTCAAAAGTAGAGCTGGCAGAATTTCTTGATGGTACAAATGTGGGGTAAAGAAGATTATTAATTATTAATAACTACAAGTAACTGAAATATGTTTCCTTGGACAAAACAGGAAGATAAAATGATCACTTACTGAAAGTTAGGATACTATTGGATGAATAGTTTCAAGGAGAAAATCAAAGGTTTGTTTTGGACATGTTAAATCGGAGACACATTTTAGTTAATTAAATGGAAAAGTGGTTATACAAATCAGGGATCATGGAAGAGATATGCTTCATTTATAAGTAATACTTAAACTCATGAGACTAAACACAATCATATAGGAAAGAAGTGTAGATAAAGGAATTATATAAACATTGAACATATTTTATTCCTCCATAAGCTTTAATGAAAAAATTCTCTTCTTAGGAGAAAAGCAAAGGTAATTTTTTTCTAATCAATTCACTCGCTAAGTCTTATTTTTATTTTCAAGTGTACATTATGTAATGTAATGTACATGGTGTAATGTACATAATATAAGATAATGTATTTGACTCGTGTACACAGACTTCTCCATTTAGTTTATGCACATGACACAAAATAACTACTATAATTCAGTCCATATTTACTGAACCTCTACTTTGAAAGATCTGGTGATAAGGTAAAACATAACATAAAATAGAGCCAGAAAGAAAACAAAGAGGAAAAGGAACATGAAGCATTACACCAAAAAACTTAAGTCAATACACAAATAATTGCAGAAGTTTAGATTGGAATTACATACTGTAAACAATTACGAAGAAGCTTAACACCATCATTATCAGCATATTATTCTTGGTCAAATTGGAAAATTTTGAATTAGAAGTGTAAATGATAAGTAAAAGAAACTATTCTGCCCTTAAGACTTTTTTCTCCCATGATTAATTTCCATGATACTACAGTGCCATGTTCCCATGAGCTATTCATTTTATTACAATATGGTACCAGTAGATGTCGCTATAATATTGTTTTTGGAAGATTTGCAGTCCAATGTGATTTC